AATTTAAGCAATGTAGATTCTTTAATTAAAGGTTATATGCCTTAAGTAAGGCAGAAAGCCTTAATTAAGGTCGGCAGGTAAGGGATATGGGGATATTTAAGGAATATACCTTAAATAAGGAATATTGGAGCTTCAGGGCAACCCATGGCTCTCCTCAACGGCTACAACTTGCTCAGCAAAGCAGGGCGCCAACCTCTGAAGCAGGTGTTGGCAGGGCATCGACCTTACCTGGCGGTCGTTGCGTTCGACTGCCGCATATGGTTGCCATTGACGAATCTCAGCCCGGAGCAGGCCTGGGACGAACTTCGACGGGGAGTCGGGCGACGAGCTCTTCACTTGGTTCGTTGGATCTGCCGGGAGCAGGACCGAGCCGGAAGATACTACCTCGTGGAGAATCCATGCGGCTCTGCAGCCTGGGTCTTTGAAGGTATCCTGGGCAAGTTGTTGGAGCAGGCGCACGGCAAGTTCCTTTATGGTGACCAATGTCGTTTTGGGAAGAGAGATTCTGAGAGCAAGCGGCCTGTTCGAAAGAGGACCGGCTGGCTCAGCAACTCCGAGTCCATCCTGAACCAACTTGGCAAGCAATGTGTTTGTCCGCCTGGAGCGCATGATATCCCAAGGCACTTTGCCGGGCAGTGTCAAGGAAGAAGAACCGGCGGAGGACGAATGGAGGCTCGAGGGTGGAGATCGACTTCTCCGGCTTCACCGAGTTCCCCGGCGGCGGCTCTTCTTGCCTTTGTCTTCGACCGCTCCACCATGCCCGCTGGCTTCTTTGCAGAGCAGGCGGCGGACAATGATGGTGTTGCAAGACGGCACCCGGCGGCGAGAGCGTGTCGACAACTGGCACGAGGCATCCTGGAATCCGCACGGCATTTCGATGGACCATTTGTGGACAGGAACTACGGAGTTCCTGCTGCAGACGGCGGGCACGGCTTTGGAGGAGGAAATCCAACAGCAGCGCCAGCAACAACCACCACCAGATCAACATGGGCACTTCGATGGGTCAGCCGCCCCCTTCGATTCGGCAGCCTACCCGGAGGACCACTTGAGCGATTACGAGCCATCACCCGTGGAACGTCCGAGTGAATCGTTTCCACCACCGTTGGCTTCTCCACATGCACTACCAGAAGGAGCTTCCAGTGAGCACCGTGGCATGGAGGACTTAGATAGACCTCTAGAAGAAATCCGACAGCAGCAGCAACAACCACGACCGGATCAACGGGCACTTCGACGTAGACAGCGCACGAGACAGTCAGCCATGAGGACACTGTTGGGCTTCTAGAGTCGACTTTAGACTACGTGCAACAGGAGGGTGGCCCTAGATGGAACAAAATCAACATCGACACCGACTTGGGGAAGGCATGGCTCTCCCTGGAGGGTGGCAGCGCAGATGTTTCCTTGAACCTTAGTTCCACCTCAGCACGGAGACTGAAGAAGCCACAGCCACACGCTGGACCTCACGATGTTCCACTTCGTCGTTCCTACTTGCTGCTGGACGACGGCACCGTGCTCACTACGGATTGGGAGGCCTGGGGCACTATGTCGCCAGCATCTCAGGTTCGGCCTTTGGTTGCGCCGCAGAGACGCCTTTACCTGGTCCTGTTCGGAAAGGAGGTCGGCGAGGATGACGCCGGCGATGAGCCCGACCAACTTCAACAACGGGAAGAAGCGCGAGAACGGAAGTGGCAAGCTTTGCCGAGAGAGCTGAAGCTGGCGATCAAGCGTGTGCGCGAGAACCTTGGGCACGCCAGTCAGCCAGCGCTTCTCCGAGCATTGAGGATCGCTCTGGCGTCCGAGGTTGCCATTAAAGCGGCACGTCTTTTCAGATGTCCTGAATGTCCGCGACTTCGAGAACCTCGACGCCCAAGACCATCAAAACTACCCATTGCGAATGAATTCAACATTATGATTGGCATCGACATCTTCAACGTTAAGGACTCAGCAGGTGAATCCTGGACCTTTCTCAACACGTTGCGCCAGGGTACCAGCTATCAAGTTTGCACCTTGCTTGGCGAGACGCACGGCAATCCCACTGGACGAGTCGTGCTGGAAGCTCTGAACAGCTCTTGGATCAATTGGGCTGGTTATCCCGAGAGGGGGATAGTGACCGACAGGGCGAAGTATTTCCTGGCAGAGCTTGCCGAAGATTTCTGGACACGGATGCCAGGTCGAACCTGCGGCTTCGGCATCACCGTGGCAACTTGGACAGGTCGAGAGGCATGGTGCGATATGGAAGCAGACCTTCAAGAGAGCGGCCTGGTCGCAGCAAGTGGCTGGTTTGCAGGAGGTCCAGGCGTTGACCGTGGCCACCAACCAGAGCAAGAACTCTTTGACAAGGAAATCCGGCTTTTCGCCGGCCCAGTGGGTTCTTGGGCAAGATATCCGCCTGCCGGCAGATCTGGCAGACGATGCTGAAGTTGCGCAGATAGGGGCCCAAGCCCTGGCGGCCACGCCCGCAGTGTTTTCTTTCGCAAAGCCCAACTTCGACAAGCAGCGAGGGAAGCCTTCACCAAGACGGCCAACGACGACGCGCTGAGGCGAGCAGAGCTACGACAAGTTCGACCATCGCGTGGCCCGTTTCCCATCGGTAGCTACGTTTTCTACTACGACGCCGCAGCCTGGGCAAGGATACCACGTCACAGGCGTCCTTGGTTTTCCAGGCGTTCCACTCTTTCTCGTCAGAGCCGCCCTTGCCGCAGAAAAGCTCCTTCTGCCCGGCGTCGAGGTCTTTCAGCAGAATCTCCTTCCTGCCCTTCTTCTTGGCGCTGGTGTCGTCTGAGGACGTCGCTGCAAGGGCCTCGTACTGCACCTGGAAGTCATTGCGATGAACTCCGAAAAGAAGGTCACTTTCCGAGACTCCAAGTGCCTGGTACGCGTGCTCGTGCTGGGCGTAGTGGTTCACAACCTTGTTGTCCAAGTAGCGCCCGCCCTCTGCCGCCAGGTAGGCTTCGCAGCTCTCCACTTCGGCGAAGTTGGCGTGGTGGCTCTCTCCTAGAACGCGTTGCCGTTTCGCTTCTCGTTCTCGGGCCTCGCCGTCTGCATCCTCAACGATGGGCGACAACGCTGGTGCTGGAAGAGCTTGATGATAATCATGCACTTCTGGATCAAACTCCATATTGCCCTCGATGTCCTCCAAGTCGAGGTCTGGTAGTCCAAGAGGATCGACAGGGATGTCAGCCGGAGTCGACGGCAAAGCAGAGGATGGCATCGGGGAAGCTGCTGCTGCAGGCCCAGCGGAGCCCTTGCTCCCACGTGTCCTCCTCTTCTCTTCCTGTGCGCTGAAGAACTCGCTCGACTTCCGTGCTCGCCGTGCGTCTCTTTCACTGGCCGCCCTCTCTTCAGAAACACCCTGTGAACTCAGCTCGGGCTCCGGCACGATCGGTCCAGCATCGCCACCATCGTCAGGGCCTCCTCGTTCATCACCGTCACTCGGTGGCTCCGGCGGCTTCGGGGCACCACGCAGGTCTATGAAACCTGAATCCCCGGATGCCGGAACAGCATCAAGGAGCACAACTTCGTTTCCAACAGCCAGCCACTGGTTCACCTCTCGTCGTGCGGCTTGGCCGGGACAAAAGAATCCTACGATGGGACACCCAAACAGTGTGGCTGCCGCCCCCCGAGCAGAGCGAGAAGGTGAGGCGAGAAAAGCCCGACCTCATCATACCGACGAGGTGGGTGAGGACAAATAAGCATGACGGCCTCGTTGGGAAGGAGTTCCTGGCCAAGAGCAGGCTGGTCGTGCAGGGCTTCAAGGACAAGTCGCTTGGTCGTTTCCGTCGGGACGCCCCTACAGCAAGTGCAGTTGCAGAGAGCATTTGCCTGGCAGTTTGTGCTTTCTTCAAGTTCACGCTGTTCGCCAAGGACATCAAGAATGCCTACTTCTCGGGCAAGAGCGTGGATAGAGAGATATACCTGGAACAGCCAAGAGGTGGCCTCCCAGGTTTGTTGCCGGGGCAGTTGCTTCGAGCCAAGAAAGCCATACATGGTTTTGCTGAGGCGGCCAGGCTTTTCTGGCTAGCTTTGAGAGAGAACCTTCTTTCAGACGGTTGGGTCGAGAGCAAGCTGGAGCCAGCACTCTTCTACTTGCGCCAGCAAGGCCGTTTAGTTGGCATCCTCGTCACTCATGTTGACGATCTCGAAGGTGGTGTCAATGAGAAGGTGATCAACTCAGCGTTTGAGCGCTCGGGGAGAGCTTTGGAATTCGCGATCAACCACTACAAGGACTTCATTTTCCGTGGACGCGAGGTTCGGCAGACAGACAGCAACCACATCGACGTCTCCATGAGGAACTATGCCCTCTCCATGAAGACCGTGAAGGTGGACTCCGGGAGACGGAAGGAGCTGAGGTCCATGCTCACTTCAGATGAGCTTAGTGTCTTCCAAAGCAGCGCCGGCGAGCTTGGCTGGATCACGCGCCAGTTGAGGTGCGACTTGGCGTACGAGAACGGCGTGGTTCAGAGGAGCAAGACAGACACTTGCGTGGCAGACCTCCTGTTGCTCAAACAATATGTCGGACTTGCGAGAAGAGGTTCGGATTTCCGACAGAGATATTGGTCGGATGTTGATTTGAGAAGTGGCGTTATCCTGCACCTTGCGGATTCCGGCCACGCCAATGGCACTCCCGACCATAACGAGGAGCTGAAGTACAGGAGCGTGGGCGGCTACTTCATCATGATCGCTAACCCTGAGATCTTGAAAGGTGAAGAAGCGAGGGCCAATATCCTGGCCTACCACTCCACGCTGACAAAGAGGGTTTGTCGAAGCACCTTGGCGGCCGAAGCGAGCCATTTGGCCGAGGCTGTGGAGGCAGGCGACTGGATCATCGTCCTATTGGAAGAGGCCCTCACCGGCTACGTCGACTTGAAGAACTGGGATAAGATCATTGAGCAGAGACAGAGGGCGTACGTCACAGACGGCCGTTCTGTTTATGATTATCTCCAACGTGATGCTACATCGACTTCGAGCGACAAGCGGATGGCGATAGAGGGTGCACTACTTCGTGAAACAGTTCGGCGTGAAGGAGCTCACGTCAAGTGGATTGACGGGCAACAAAACATCGCCAACGTCCTCACGAAGGCCAATGCCGAGAAGGACATCCTGAGAGACTTTCTTCGAACTGGTCTTCTTTGTCTGACTCAGACGGAGGCCAACCGAGCTCTGAAAGAGCGGAAGCAACAGCAGCGGCAACAGCGCAAGAAGGTCACGGATGAGCACCAGTATGGCAAGGCACATCTTCGAGCTCAGCGGCGAGAAGACGTGGCTCAGCAGGTCGAAGGCATGAAATTGCTGGACGACAACGAGGTTGACAACGAAAAGAAAAGGAAGGAGTGTGAAATTCCTCCTTGATGCAAGGCTATTCGTTGCCAACCGCTGCCGAGCCGGCCCAAGAGAACACGCTGGTGCGCTTTCTGCTAGGCATGCCTGCATGCACCTTAGGTCCGCTTGTAGCAGACAGAAGCTTTCACAAGACACCGAGTACTTTGCATGTTCTGCGTTAGCAAAAGAGTGGGATGCTTGCAGCTGCCAGTGCGTACTTCGCAAATAGTAATAGTACTGGTAATAGTAATAATAGTAGTAGTGGTAGTAGTAGTAGTCGTAGTAATAGTAGTAGTAGTGGTACTATTAGTACTAGTAGTAGTCTTATAGTAGTAGTACTCGTAGTAGTAATAATCGTAGTAGTACTGGTCGACGCACTACCCAGATCTTCCAAAAGTGCTCTGTTTATGCCTGTCACTAATTTTAAGCAATAATTGCTTATTTGAGCATGACAAAAAAGTGCTTATTTAAGGAAAAACATTGCTAAATTTTTTCACATCCATCATATATCACACGCGCAGCAGCAGCTTGAGAAGCATACATTTTCACGCTTGCAACTTTGGCAGCTCATTGGCAGCCATAAATCGCCTTAAGACGGAGTTGGAGATACTTCATGCTATACTTCCCACCTCTGCGGCCGGCCAAAGTGGCAACAGTGTGGCCAAAGCTTCCGTCCCGGTACGTCCAAGTAGCACTTGGTGTGGACTGCTGCCTAGCGAGCTCGAGCAAGAGGTGAGCTTTGGGCTTGACCCGAAAAAGCTTGTCCTCTTCGAATTGCGTCTCAAAGCTTCCGTTCAAAAGCAAAAACCGCTGAGCTGCAGCTGCAGCATGGACATGCTGACTGTTCCAAGAGCCTGCGCTCAAATTGGAATAGATGGCTTGCAACTCCACGCAGCCACGAAGCATTGTAAGCTCGGCAACTTTGGTCACATCCAAATACTTCTGCGCAAGATGCAGAACGCAGGGCACCAAGGCTCTAGCCTCCCAAGCTTTAGCGCGCGGCTTTGGAGACTTGATTTTTCCCTTGACCTGTTCTCGCAACATGGTGGCAAGCAACTTGGGCAAGCGATCTTCGCTGTTGTGTTGTCGATACCATACATCGATGTCTGCGAAAAGCTTCGTGCGCCGGATCAGTTTGCTTGCGCCCTGGATCTTCTCGCTCTGGAGATAGAAAAGGAAAGTGCCCATCCAATCAGACGTGATGCCCAAATCGCAACAATGCAAAAAATCCACGCTGCAACACTCGCTGCCGAATCCAGGCACAGCAAACAACTTGGACACCAGCTTTACTTGCTGCCTTTGTCTGATGAAGAAATCCATGCTGGAGATGATAGGATACCTTGGCTATCAAAAGCAAGCACGCGTGAGCCAACATTCCTACCAAGGAACTGGCTCAGCCAGTATATTCCTACTAAGGAACTGGCTTGTACGATACTTACCAAAAAAATGCTTGGTCAAATCTGGGTTAACCGTTCCAAAACATGGTCTTCAAATCTCTTGAGGGAATCCTGCTGGCAGTTAGTTGCATCTCCAACAAATGAAGCCCTTGGAGCTCCAAGACGGGAAACTCATCTCTGACAAAGAAGCCTTGAGCGCAACGGTCTTTCCCTGCTGCTTTCTCCTGTAAGCATCTGTGCTGTTGAAAGCGCTACCATCATGCCTGGCACTGGGCATCGTCCCACTCAGGAGAACGCGGAATGACCATGCCACAACTTCAAAAATGTCCTCATAAGTTTGGCCCTTGGCACGCATATCCTTGGGAAAGGCAACCAAAGGAATCCTCAACGACTGATGACCACAGAGGCTCAGAGTCAAGGTCTCCAAACTCTGACTGTCAGAATTGAAAGGCACTGCATCAACCCATAATCCAGCCAAGATTGTAGCTTCTCTCGGAAAACCAACCTTCAGCAGGTGAGCGAGCAGGTCAGGCCGATCCGGCAAAATCACCTCCTGCTTGGCGATGAGAAGCTCCGGGTCGTTGACTTTCAGAAGGGCAAAGAGGAAGTCGCGCGGTAACAGAATGGACAGAGTCTGTTGCTCACACTTGTTCTCAGCTTCCTTAAAAGCAGTCGCCTGAAACTCGTAGGGACTTGGCCACT